CATATTGGGTAGGCCCCTACCCAATCCACTATGTCACTTTCCCTATCGTCTCCATAGGAATTTCCGTGACCACTTCCTTTAACCAGTAATCTCAAATCCTATGTTGGCCTATGGTTTGCCTCGTCCTTAAGCTGGACTAATTCGACGGTTCCCACAAAAAGCAAAAAAAGAACAGATTAAAAGTTTTCACAAACATCTGTTCACGAAACCTAATACTCAGAGTTACAATAACAGAGGAACAGGGATAAGAAACGTGACTACTAAATGAAAAGAGAACCGGTGAGTAACAGAATGTAATCGGCATTGCATGGTATGTACTGTGATTGTGCGTTTGAGATTCAGAAAAAAAGAAGCCTCTGTGACGAGTATAGCAGGTGTTTTCACAGGTAAATATTTGAGCGGAGCGCTTCACTAATATTGCGAAATGTGGTCCCATTTCATCCCATGATATGGAAGGTGAGACGTCATGTGATATTCTTGAACTCATTCACAGGCAGACCTGCGGTCAGATCCAGATCATTCGCTCCATGTAGAAGCGCAGAAAAGTCGTGACTTTCGCGATTTGAATGTGTGCAAAGTTCATGGGTTCTGTGCCTGACCAGACTCTTTTTGCTACCATTTCATCGTCAGGGCATAGCAGGTTGTTAGCTGTGGGCCTTCTGTACTCTGTCGGCGTATTTACCGCTTCTCGCTTTCGCATGTCGCCTCCGTCGTGATTACTGTAGCCTCAATAAAAAAACGGAGGCCTCAATTTCAATTATATTGCGCTTATTTTGATCATACTGTCCAACGTGTTTGTTCAATTTCCGAGCGGACAAACCGTCTGGTCCGCGACTCGCTGTCCCTGTTTCGAGGGATTTTTTGTTTTTATTTTGTAGTCCAATGACGGTTTTTTTGCTTCTTTTTCTCATTTTTAGCAATTCGGCATTCACAACTTCATTATTAACCACTGTGGCCCTCAAATTTCTGGGGTGTTGGTTTGAATTCTCCATTATAAGATATCTAACATTCGCTACAAGCTGCAGCGACGTTAGGAATCTTTGAGCTCGACAGCGATAGCAGATGACGTCATGCTTTGAGGGCGGCTAGGGCAGTGAGTGAGGGCCTGCTTCTGCTCATGGGGGAACATCTAAGTATCACGTATTCTGCCGTAAAACCCACATCCCCCTCTGTGAAAAAAGTTGCTGACGCGCTGTGAAGAGAGTTTTCGCTAATCCACTGCTCTTCCTTGCGAAAAACTGATAATCAACCCTCTCCCCGAAGTATAAGCTATTTTGCCAACCTGTCGTAAGACCCTATAAGCTATATGCGATTACCAGATAACATCCACATTTGCCAGCTTATACAAAACAGCGATAAATGGTAGTCAATCAGAGAGAAGAATGGAAGCGACCAATATGTATTATAGATAACTGGTCCGTTTTTGTGCCGCTTATATTGCGTATAGCATTTATGAACAAAGCACCTATGGACCAGATCTTTTCATGGTTTGATGTATGAACGACTGCTGTCGTCACTAATATTGGAATATGTGATTCCTGTGAACTTTTATTTAGAAACAAAAGATCCATGGATATAAATTTATTCTTCAAAGAAAAAGTTGTTTTCCCACGAAACTCTCACTCACGCAACAGCAAAAAAACTGTCTAATAACGAGGACAAGTATGGTCTTGAGCGGAACTCCTCTGGCAGCCCTTGGCCCATCCGATGTTATCCTTACTCCCGTAGAACATTCTAAGCGCAGTGTCCATCGTTTCCTTTGTTGCGGACTTCAGGTGAAAAAACTGCCTTCAGAGAAAATCAGCGCCATCGAACAAGGACATCTTCTCCATTCACTGAGAGTATTGGGAACCTTAACACAAGATATCAGATTTTGTACTTCTCGATTCCTGAGCCACCCTTCCCACACTTGACCCGGTCCCTCCAGGCGGATCCCGAGGAGCTAGGGAATTTCGTGACAGACATACAGAACGACAGACGACGACAGACGAAGCGCTTTATAGTTAGTAGGATGATCACTGCCAGTGGTTGTATCAAATGGGCAGTGCCACACGCATGAACCAACACATTTTACAGAATCGTAAACAAGGTTCTCGTGGCTAAAGAGTGTTATGTCAGAAGTATAGAACTAGTAGTATGAAGTGCTCAGTATTGACTCTTTGGGGTGCGTTCGACAGCATTCGGTATAGTGGCTTAGGGGTACGCATTTTTCCATGAGAGATTCATTGGATGTTGGTCGATAGATTCTGGTCGCATATGACTGGAGAATCCGGTTCGGAGTGGCTTTGACGCTATATTGTGGTATATGTGGTGACGATTAATGTTGCACTTGCGAGCAAGGGACTTGGATCGATCAGAAGATTGCAGCGAGGAGAGTATGAAGGAAAAGCAGCTACCATACGACCAGAGAAGTAAATAATTCTTGTAGCCAATCAGGCAAACTGTTCAGTAACCCATTAAATTACCTTTGATGACTCCAGTTAGGTGAATGGCCCTATGGAGTCTACTCCTAAAGGAGCATATTACGAAATCGAAACATTTGGATGTTAGAACCAGTAGCAGTTTAATCTTTATACATCTGATACTTATTATATTTTTGATAGGTATATAACAGTACAGAAGAAAATTCTTCAGGGCTATTCAACATAGATTTTGTATCACAACAAAATACAGCAAAAATAAGAAATCAGTTCACTTCACAAATTCGTCCGATGGAGGAGAATAAGAATATAAATGCATGGAAAGACAAGTACGAGTGAAACATTCTCTAGAGCTGAGCACAACAGGAAAAGTGGTTCAGTCGCGGATAAAGTGTTATGGTTACATTCTTTAAAAAATCAGAATTGTTTCAGAATGCGAAGATCTTGTTGTGGTTGAAGCATGGGACTGGGGTGTAGCCGGAATGAGGGTGCAGTCGACCTATTTCTCCTTGAATTCAACGCTCTGTGTACAGCCGAAAATATGTGATAGATGGATAAGGCAGCGACGAAATTGTCCACGAATTTTAGGGCCTAATTGTGTCCTGTGCATGAAATAAGATGCACATGAAGAAGACCTTGAAATCCTGAAAGAAGAAGTAGTTGACATTTTGAGTCATCAGCGATAATGTGGCAGACTAAGTTCTAAGGGTACGACGTTGAAAGTATAACTTGTAATTCATGCTGCAGTCGGCGTCAGTCAAGGGTATGATGGACTTGGGTGATGACTAGGTCAGAATTGTAGCAAGTATTTCACGTATGATTGACGTTTTGGATGTAGACAGCGATGATGATGTAGCAGAGTTCTTGACTGTAACCGACTTCAGGGACAGTGGACGGCTCAGTGACATGCATTGCTGAACTTCGTCGAGACTACACAAGTAGACGGTGTTGAAGCTGTTCGAGGCTTCACGTGTGGCTGGGGTTCGAGGTGTGGCTGAACATGAGCTTGGAGCGAGTATTTTGGTTGCAACATCTGCTGAAGGAGTAGTCGACATTCTAGCCGCAGATAGAGTACCAATAGTGACTCAGCACTTCCGATGCGGCCGAAATTTCAGTGGCAACCGATATTTCTAGCGCAACCGGCGTCAAGTTTAGTGAAAGTTGTGAGGATGGACAAAGCTGAATCTACCTAGCGCCATGCAGACGAAATAGAGGTTATGGTCGACTGGAGCGGACCTCTCGGTTGTCGTCAGCATCTTGGATGGAGCCGGTATTTCAATCGTAGGCGACGTAACGGGTTCAGTCGATGTCAGGAGATTTGGCGACGATGACATCTTGGGTGTAATCTGCATTTCAGACGCTAGTGGTACTGCAGCTGTGGTCGGCGCTTTGTCTTTGGCGGACCTCTCGGTTGTCGTCAGCGTCACGGATGGAGCGGTATTTCAATCGTAGGCGACGTAACGGGTTCAGTCGATGTCAGAAGATTTGGCGACGATGACAATTTGGGTGTCGTTAGTATTTCAGATGCTATTGGTACTGTAACTGGCACCTCGGCTGGAGCAGACTTTCTAGGTATGATGAACGTTTCAAGCGGAGCCGGTGTTAAAATTGCAGTCTGTGCTCGGCAGGAGCGAATTCACCTCTCGCTTGTTGTCGTCAGCGTCACGGATGGAGCCGGTATTTCAGTCGTAGGCGACGTAACGGGTTCAGTCGATGTCAGGAGATTTGGCGACGATGACATCTTGGGTGTAATCTGCATTTCAGACGCTAGTGGTACTGCAGCTGTGGTCGGGCGCTTTTGTCTTCGGTTGTCGTCAGCGTCACGGATGGAGCCGGTATTTCAGTCGTAGGCGACGTAACGGGTTCAGTCGATGTCAGGAGATTTGGCGACGATGACATCTTGGGTGTAATCTGCATTTCAGACGCTAGTGGTACTGCAGCTGTGGTCGGCGCTTTGTCTTTGGCGGACCTCTCGGTTGTCGTCAGCGTCACGGATGGAGCCGGTATTTCAATCGTAGGCGACGTAACGGGTTCAGTCGATGTCAGGAGATTTGGCGACGATGACAATTTGGGTGTCGTTAGTATTTTCAGATGCTATTGGGTACTGTAACTGGCACCTCGGCTGGCCAGCAGTACTGTTTCAGGTATTGGATGAACGTTTCAAGCGGAGCCGGTGTTAAAATTGCAGTCTCTGCTTCGGCAGGAGCGAACCTCTCGGTTGTCGTCAGCGTCACGGATGGAGCCGGTATTTCAGTCGTTGGCGACGTAACGGGTTCAGTCGATGTCAGGAGATTTGGCGACGATGACATCTTGGGTGTAATCTGCATTTCAGACGCTAGTGGTACTGCAGCTGTGGTCGGCGCTTTGTCTTTGGCGGACCTGTCGTCAGCGTCACGGATGGAGCCGGTATTTCATCGTAGGCGACGTAACGGGTTCAGTCGATGTCAGGAGATTTGGCGACGATGACATCTTGGGTGTAATCTGCATTTCAGACGCTAGTGGTACTGCAGCTGTGGTCGGCGCTTTGTCTTTGGCGGACCTCTCGGTTGTCGTCAGCGTCACGGATGGAGCCGGTATTTCAATCGTAGGCGACGTAACGGGTTCAGTCGCATGTCCAGGAGATTTGGCGACGATGGACGTTGAATGACAGTCTTTGGCGTGTAATCTGCATTTCAGACGCTAGTGGTACTGCAGCTGTGGTCGGCGCTTTGTCTTGGCGGACCTCTCGGTTGTCGTCAGCGTCACGGATGGAGCCGGTATTTCAGTCGTTGGCGACGTAACGGGTTCAGTCGATGTCAGGAGATTTGGCGACGATGACATCTTGGGTGTAATCTGCATTTCAGACGCTAGTGGTACTGCAGCTGTGGTCGGCGCTTTGTCTTTGGCGGACCTCTCGGTTGTCGTCAGCGTCACGGATGGAGCCGGTATTTCATCGTCGTTGGCGACGTAACGGGTTCAGTCGATGTCAGGAGATTTGGCGACGATGACATCTTGGGTGTAATCTGCATTTCAGACGCTAGTGGTACTGCAGCTGTGGTCGGCGCTTTGTCTTTGGCGGACCTCTCGGTTGTCGTCAGCGTCACGGATGGAGCCGGTATTTCAGTCGTTAGCGCGACGTAACGGGTTCAGTCGATGTCAGGAGATTTGGCGAAGATGACATCTTGGGTGTAATCTGCATTTCAGACGCTAGTGGTACTGCAGCTGTGGTCGGCGCTTTGTCTTTGGCGGACCTCTCGGTTGTCGTCAGCGTCACGGATGGAGCCGGTATTTCAATCGTTAGGCGACGTACGGGTTCAGTCGATGTCAGAAGATTTGGCGACGATGACAATTTGGGTGTCGTTAGTATTTCAGATGCTATTGGTACTGTAACTGGCACCTCGGCTGGAGCAGACTTTCTAGGTATGATGAACGTTTCAAGCGGAGCCGGTGTTAAAATTGCAGTCTCTGCTTCGGCAGGAGCGAACCTCTCGCTTGTTGTCAGCGTCACTGATGGAGCCGGTATTTCAATCGTAGGCGACGTAACGGGTTCAGTCGATGTCAGGAGATTTGGCGACGATGACATCTTGGGTGTAATCTGCATTTCAGACGCTAGTGGTACTGCAGCTGTGGTCGGCGCTTTGTCTTTGGCGGACCTCTCGGTTGTCGTCAGCGTCACGGATGGAGCCGGTATTTCAGTCGTAGGCGACGTAACGGGTTCAGTCGATGTCAGGAGATTTGGCGACGATGACATCTTGGGTGTAATCTGCATTTCAGACGCTAGTGGTACTGCAGCTGTGGTCGGCGCTTTGTCTTTGGCGGACCTCTCGGTTGTCGTCAGCGTCACGGATGGAGCCGGTATTTCAATCGTAGGCGACGTAACGGGTTCAGTCGATGTCAGGAAGATTTGGCGACGATGACAATTTGGGTGTCGTTAGTATTTCAGATGCTATTGGTACTGTAACTGGCACCTCGGCTGGAGCAGACTTTCTAGGTATGATGAACGTTTCAAGCGGAGCCGGTGTTAAAATTGCAGTCTCTGCTTCGGCAGGAGCGAACCTCTCGCTTGTTGTCAGCGTCACGGATGGAGCCGGTATTTCAAGTCGTAGGCGACGTAACGGGTTCAGTCGATGTCAGGAGATTTGGCGACGATGACATCTTGGGTGTAATCTGCATTTCAGACGCTAGTGGTACTGCAGCTGTGGTCGGCGCTTTGTCTTTGGCGGACCTCTCGGTTGTCGTCAGCGTCACGGATGGAGCCGGTATTTCATCGTAGGCGACGTAACGGGTTCAGTCGATGTCAGGAGATTTGGCGACGATGACATCTTGGGTGTAATCTGCATTTCAGACGCTAGTGGTACTGCAGCTGTGGTCGGCGCTTTGTCTTTGGCGGACCTCTCGGTTGTCGTCAGCGTCACGGATGGAGCCGGTATTTCAGTCGTAGGCGACGTAACGGGTTCAGTCGATGTCAGGAGATTTGGCGACGATGACATCTTGGGTGTAATCTGCATTTCAGACGCTAGTGGTACTGCAGCTGTGGTCGGCGCTTTGTCTTTGGCGGACCTCTCGGTTGTCGTCAGCGTCACGGATGGAGCCGGTATTTCAATCGTAGGCGACGTAACGGGTTCAGTCGATGTCAGAAGATTTGGCGACGATGACAATTTGGGTGTCGTTAGTATTTCAGATGCTATTGGTACTGTAAGCTGGTCAC